TGTTCCGCGTGAAGCAACGAGATGCAGCAACTCTACTCCCGATCATTAGAGCACATGTCAAACCAGGTAAGAAAAAAAAATACATCCTGCTCAGCTCAATTTTGTCTACTTCAGGCTCTATGATTGTATCCGATGGTTGGGCCGCCTACGGTGGCATCAGAACCCTCCAGAGAGCGTTTACACACAGATGGGTCAATCACAAAGTAAACTTTGTTGACCCCAGCGATCGACGAGTTCACACTCAGTCTATTGAAGCCACATGGGGTGCTTTCAAACGGGAACTCAAAGCGAAATATGGCGTCCCAGAAGATCAACTCGACGGATACATGTCGACATACATGTTTAGACGATACTTCGGAAGAAAAAAACTTCTGAACCACCTTCTGATCGAGATGAAGTATTATAAGAAAGAAGATGACTATGATTCAAGTGAATCTGAACTCTCCACGGATGAAAGCTCTGATTACGACGGCGGTGAAGACGAGTCCGATTCCAGCGACCCGAATCATGGAGACGACGATGATGAAGACGGAGCAGATAGTACAGTTGATGATAATAATGGCTATGATGATGATGATGACAATAATGACTATGAAGATAATGGTGATAATAATGATGATGATGATTATGATGATGACGATATCCAAAACGAGGATGAATCAGAGTTTGAGGAAGAGCAGGAGGGAGAGCAAGAAGAAGAACAGGACGAAGAGCAGGACGAAGAGAAGGAGGATGAGGAGCAGGATGAGGAGCAGGATAAGGAGCAGGATGAGGAGCAGGATAAGGAGCAGGATGAGGAGCACGAAAAGAATCACGAAGATGAGTACGAAGATGAACAGGAAGAGGAAGATCAATTGACTGAAGCACCGACCACGAAAATCTTCAGAAAAAGAAAACAGTTCGATTCTGATAGAGTTTCATTTGCTCCCAAACAACGAAATGAAAGAAACAATCGCGCCTTTACATTTTCAACAAGACAAACCACAATGGCTGCTCGTTTGAATCGAAATAGAAACGAACGTCGAAGTTCTTCTACCGCTTCTACAATGAGAACCACCACCTCTTCTAAGCCAGAAATGATTATCAAAACCAACAGACCAATTTCGTCAACTACACCAAGGCAAACGACGACCAAAACTCGAAAACCTCGGAAGAAGACACAAAGTCGAAAAGCTGATCCTACAACCACCATCACAACCACAGCAACCATGAGGACCACGACCACCATGAGAACAAGACGAACAACTTCCCATCAGTCGAGAAGAACCACGACAGAACCTCGTACGAAACGGACGACGTCTGCCCCTGAAACGAGACAAACAACCATCACCACTCAGAAGACTCGGAATGATAGAAGAAGACGCGGGCGGCCCACTACCACCACTCCAAGATCGACTACCATTACTCCAAGATTCACAACCACTACTCTAAAATCCACTTTCACCGGCCGAAGGAAGTTCAAAGGACGCGGATAAGATCATCTTGTTGCAACCGATATTCTTTTTTTTGTGTTCTGAACTATTTATCCTCTCTAATTCTTATATGCCACACCTTTTAGTCTTATACCTTCTTCTGAATAAAAATCAAAATTACAAAAAAAATTATTTTTAAAACATCAAAACTATTGAAAACATGATTGGAATAAATAAACGTTTCAATCTAACCAAATTTTCAAACAAAAACATGAAAGCTATTCAAATACCCACATCTTTCTTTAAGGACCAGAATTTTTTTTAAGGGCCAGAATTTTTTTTTAAGGACCAGAATTTTTTTTTAAGGACCAGAATTTTTTTTTAAGGACCAGAATTTTTTAAGGACCAGAATTTTTTTTAAGGACCAGAATTTTTTTTAAGGACCAGAATTTTTTCTAAGGACCAGAATTTTTTTTAAGGACCAGAATTTCATACTAGAGCCGATTTTTTTTCAAAATTTTTCAAAAAAAATTTTTTTTTGAAAATGTTTAAAAGTTACTTTAGAAGATAGAAAAATGTCCAAAAATGAGTTTCGCACTCAAGCAAATCCTGAAAAACTAATTTTTAACCTCGAAAAATGCATGTTTTTGGCCAAAATTTAGTATTGAAAGCACTTTCAGAGGGCATATTTCGGCTCCTTTCGAGAACGGGCTAAACATTTTTTTGAATTCGGATTCAACATGTTCGAAAGTACCTTTGTACGAATTTCGAGCAAATTCTCAACCGTTGTCTGAAAAACCTTCCCTTGTCAGATCTAATTCCGAATCGTTTACCTGAGTTATGATACAATTAGTCCTATACTTTTTCTGGTTAAGAATATGTGAATTTAGTCCTACTTTTTCTGGTTAAGAATATGTGAATTTGATAAAACAGTATTGATCTAGACTTATGCAATCGTGAAAAAATATCGTGAAAATAGTTCAACAGAATTTTTTCATTCCACTATCACAATTTTTATATTTTCCGAGTTTTTTTTGGGGGAAAAAAACCAGAAAAATCGACGTAAAGCAAGGAAAAACAAGACAATTCCAAAAATAGCCTATTTTTAGGTTACGGTAGTTGTTGTTGTAGGATCTTCTGCCGCAGCCACGGCTCCGATTTTTTGTGTACGTCTCCATCTTTACTAATTGTTTCTTCCAGTTTTTTTTTGAAGCTTAATAGTTTTTGAAACAGGAAAAAGTTACAGTAACCTTAACTTTTCCAATTACTCTAAACCAATGGGACATTTTTCCATAAACTTATTTGCCTTTGATTACTGCAAAAGTTCACATATTCTTCATCATATAAAATATAGTACTTATTTCAAATATTTGATAACAAAACTCACCAAATCCGCACTAGGCCTGCTAAGCTCCGAAGCATTCACCACTTTCAATTTATAGTAGGGAAAATCTATCTCATCGTGTGAGTTCTCTGAAAATTGTCTTGTTTTCATGTGGGTATGGGCAAACGACAGCGCACCAGTAGTAAAACAAATAACATGATCATCTTTCCTAGTGATAGTGAAACCGAGTTTTAAAAGTGTCTCTCTTGTGGTGTTCACGAGATTTGGGACAGCTTCAGTGGTCAGTGTCATTGAAATGAGTCTATTTGATTTTCGGAAATAGCTGATGAATGGTTCGGCGGCTGTGTGGTATTCAGCTATTCGTTTCTGGAAAAAATACTAGATTTTAGAGAATTGAAAATTATAACGGTTCAATTAACAAAATTTTCATCATAATGTCGAATATCATATTTGCTATAATATAAACCTACACTTTGAGCATAATATCTCGTTTCCTATGAGAGAAAACAGAAAACTGTCAGCTGATAAAATTTTTGTGATATTATGATAAACAATTTTTAGTTGACAGTTTTTCGATATCTTTGACAGGAACAAGATGAATTGGCTCAAAGTTGAAAGTTATGGAGTTCTTCTATCGCAGGTTTCAATTGTATTTCGAGCTAGAAAAAAACTATTGAAATTGTGGCATTTTTGAAAAGAAGACTACGGAATCAACGATTCAATGTTGTTATAAAATTGTTGAAACGGAAAAGTTTGCATAATTAATCCTCATAATTATTGTCCGGCGTTGATGAACGTTGCGGTTAAAAAACAAACATCATCTAAAAAGCTATATAGAAAAAATATACTAAATCTAATTAATTTTAAAAAATTTGGAAACTTCAAAGGCGCATGGAATGTAACGACAGAAGACGACGATGTTTCAGATGAACCGGCAATGCACCTTTAAACGAATTTTCTGACGCAAAGTTCATCGCAGTGTGACAATCATAGTATTAAAGCTGTTAATCGTTGAGGTTTAAAACCAACTCGGATAATTAGGAAGTGAAACAGTTTTTAATGCTTTAAAATGTTTTTAGGCAGAAAACACAGTAGGAAAAATTAGTCGAAATTGCAGACAAAAGAACGCATGTTCATCCCTTTCTTTGTTCTTTACCTCTATTTTCCCTCGATCAATGTCATCGGCACTCCTCATCATTTGATTCAATTCTGGATTGATCTTTTTGGAATCATCATCTTTTCCTATAAATTTCTTATAAATGTTGTGTCTCTCCTATCTCTTACCATTAGCCTCTCCATTCAATCTTGTTAATGATTGCTCATCCTTTACTGTCACATCGATGGCAAATGCGATTTTATGCTACAAAAATACTCTTCAAAAACATTCAATGTTCCCAAAAAACTACCTTCATCTCAAATTGTTCCAGTGACCTGCTTTGAGTACGCGCTCGAAATCCTTCCGCTTTTAAAATTGATGACACTGTGGGCACGATATCTGACAAAAATTCAATTAGTTAATTTTCCGGTTTTGTTTTTGTGGATTCTTCCGTCCAATTTCCGATAGTGTCGATAACGGAAATTGGATATTATTTTTGGCTTTTATATAGACTCTGTTGCCTCACCAATGATGAAACGTTGTGACATTAATACTGCGATACGACTGGAAATCATTTCAAGGATCCAATCGATGTTTAGAATTCCATCGTCGTTCTGAAAACATGGGAAATCTAAGAAATCAAAACATTCAAACATATCGGTCTTATAAGAGTATTAGGAAACAGGAAAATTGTGCTAGTTATAAAACAGCCAAAAACTGAATTTCTAATTCTTTAGGTAAAATTATAGGAAATTGGCTACTTTTAATAAAACCTGTTTCACAATGCTAACAAGACAGTTTCAACTCATAAAATGTGATACGAAAAGTTATTTTTTTCACAATTTGAGGTACAATACATTTTGGAAACAAATTCTGGGAATTCTACGAAAAATGAGCTAATGACGGGCCCTTATATTAAAGTGTTTACGGTGAGCTATCAATGAAACGTTTTTTTCGTTAGGTTTTGGGAGTTTTCTGAAAATTAGAGACCCTTCTAATCATCATTCACACGAAAACGATGAAATATTCAGCAAGTTCTGTCCATGAGGCTAAAAATTATTTCATTTTGATGATTCTCGATCAATTTGGATAGGTACTTCCCATTTTTATCAACGCCCAGTAACATCGAATGGATAAAATTTCATGTTTCAGTTAGTTCATGAATTGCTGTATGGTTACTAGATTCATTTGAAGTCGTGACTATAAAATTTTCCATAACTTTCATTAATTTATAGACCTTAGAAAGACGATGGAACGTCTCTCCTGTTTCTCAAAAATATTTTTCTAACCAAAAACCGTATCAAGGATGGTTTATGCGAAATTTTCTGTTTCATATAGTTGACAAGAAAGAAGTGTTGAATGTAGAATGTGATTGTGGAGAATTTGCTTCCGTACAGATTAATCACAGCTGTGGAAAAGAAACACCGATGGCCGTGGCCAAAGGTCCCACAACGGCAACTACCGTAACCTAAAAACCGTTACCTAACTTTTTTCCAGGATTCATTTTCTCGTTTTTACTGATATTCGTGGATTTTTCAGTTATTATTCCCTAAAAAAGGCGGGAAAATGTTTTATAGTGAGCAAACTGAGCAAACTGATTCGATACAAGAAATCCGGTGCATAAAAATATTTCTTGGTTACTGTAGTTGTCGTTGTGAGACTTTCGGCCACGGCTACTGGTGTTTCTTTTACACCAATTTTTTGCACCACGGTTATACTCAAAATACCGTGTCATGACCAGATTTATGCAATGTTTTCTGTTTCATGTCTCTAATAAGAAAACATGTGGAATGTTGAGTGTGATGCTAGGTGAGACCCCAAAACACAAATACTCACAAATACTTTTTAGATTATTACAAGAAACATGCCGAGGATAATGCCAGCTACTGTATTTTGAGTGAACATTATCTTTTCTAAAATAAAAAAATCCGATTTATTTGAAGTTAATTATAAGGATTGAATATGTTTCAGGAATGCCGTAAATGTATGTCTCGTAAGCTCTCCAAGCAATCCGAACAGAAAGTAAATTACAGGCAAACGTACGATCATTGCTGCGCAACGGTGCCGGAAATGTATGATTTCATAGTTACAGTAATCTTTTCAAACCACTCCATTGTTTTTCTTTCTTCAAAATTTCCCTGTTTCCAGAGTTTCCTTTAACCAGGTCTGAGTTCAACCTTCAATAGTCCTTAAAGGTGGGGGGACAGGCCGTAACAGTGTACAACGCTTAATGTCACTCTGAGTACAGCTGTCGTCCTCGCCTTTATGTATGCAATCGGGCTGCCGTTTTCTCTTTGCCCGCGTAGCTCAGTCGGTAGCGGCGCCGCGCCCTCAATCCTGGCCCCCACAAGTTCAACTCCTCGAGGGGCATATTTAAGCGGAATTTCGAGAACATTATTTTTTCATGTCCCCCCACCTTTAACCATAGCGATCCCTTGAAAAAAAACTCGTTTCACTCACTCTCAATGCCTCCTGTATATCCTTAATCTGTGTTCCCGTTCCACTGAGTCTTGTAGGCAAATATTGGAAGACAATATCCTCAACAGAAATGGAAACAAAGTTAAATGATCCAGTGAGTTCCTCGATTATGGATCCCTTTCTGGAAGCAGGTCCTCCTGAAAATAGTGCTTTGATTTTAAGGATTTCCGTTGGAAGTGCAAATTTGATGAAAGGAAAAGCGTAATCGAATCAAATTATGATTTCATTTAGAGAAAGAAATTTCCAGCAATAGAAGGGTGACTCACCAAAAATGAATCCTACGGAAACTTGATTCGACTGGAGGGACCTTCCTACCGACGATCCAATGGTTACTGGAATCGGTGCCGGCGGACGGAATAGGTCCGAATGAGCATCTGGCTGAAAATCGGTTCTCGATGGAGTACAGCCCATCCATGCACCCGACAATCACTGCTGAAAAGAATATGAATGACAAAACTTTTGGGATTTTGATAAAGGATAAAGAGGGATACAAAAAGGAAATGAGTTGTTTCCGATGCATCCTGGAAGAAATACGTCAATCAGAGTTTTGGAGAGGAGGAGGAGGAGTGTGTGAAAAGTTGGGGATGAAAATTTTTTAGAGAGAAGGAAAAGAAGAGGAAGAGAATGGAAGAGGAAAACGAAGAGGAATAAGTTGAAAAACGGGGGATGATCTTTCGGAAATATAATATGATCTGAAATTACGTCATTCCTGAAATGTCTGAAAATGAAATTTAAGTATGTGATTTGAGTTATGAAAAAATGCGGCTTCGTAACTACATTTTAGGGTGATAAAAAATCTGGGTTTTTGGTATGAGATTGCTCAAATCGAATTTCGCCTAGAATTTCGATGAGGGCGCTATTACTTTGGTGCATCTTTTCGATTTTTAACTTTTTCAAAGCAAAAATTCGACTAATAATTACGAAAAACACATGCTTCTTTAAGAATTTTGCTACCAAACCTAAGCTCCGCTCACTCTCTAATTTTTGGCCTCAACCGCGCATTGAAATTAAACCATAGTAATATATGAATTCAAATTAACTCCTTCGTAAAAAATCAAAGGGAATATTGAACCTAACAAAAATGCGCAGCTAAAACAATAACTTAACACAACCATGAAACAGAAAAAAATCCAAAATTTCTTGATTCAATTTTTCCAAAAAGTCAAAACTAAAAGAATTTGTCTTTTCGAAAAACCAAAATTTATACAAATCAAAGCTTCGAAAGGTTTCCCTTATCTATGTCATATGCCAATTGGAACATCAAAAAAGAAAAGGGGGAAATCTCAGAAAAGTCGGGTGGAATTGCGTAAATCGACATTGTGATGGCTGTTTTAAGTTTTCAAAGTGAAACATCAGATGTCATAATTTCTGGAAAATTCTTTGTTTTTGACCAAAAATATCTTATGGAGTTTTACCAGACACTCTAGATTTCAACATTGAGTCACTTTTTTTGGTTAATGTAAGAGATATCAAAACAAAATATAGTCAACTAACAAAACTTTAAGTATAACATCAATAAAAATTTCTCAGCTACAAAATTTCAATATCTTTCACAAGATCTGAGAAAATTTGGTTTTACGTCGCCTGTCTGTGCCCATCTTTACTGGAGATTTTACGGTAATTCAAGGTTCGTTAGACTGAGAAATCTAGAAATTCAAACGCTTTATCTAATACAAAGAAAATGGATAAGCTTTCAAATAGAAATAGTGTAACAGGAATTTTCTAGAGAGATAAATAAAAAACAAGAGACAGATAAAGTACATAAGTTTTCTGGCTTCGAAATCAAGACATAGTAATTTTGCTGGTTACTAATTAAAAAGTTAGCAATGTACCGAAACAGCAAAATTGAATTTTTACATTATTTTCAAGTTTTATCAGAATTGTTTTTTGGAATTTCAAAAGTTCTGAATATTCCAAAACACAGCCATCGGAATTGTTAATCTTTGGAAACTTCCAATTTTTCCAAATTTAGGATTTAGAAATATTCCGAATATTTTTCTCGTTTTCCAGAAACGCGGATTCCAATATCTGGAGTTGTAAAAAGAACAGATTCTTTCAGATCAAGGAACAACACATACTTGCCTACATGCCTTTTAAAATACAGTGAAAAGTTTCATCATTTCTTGAAGTTTTGTTTCTTCATACTGAAAAGTTTTAGGATCTTGGGAATTTATTTCGATACAATTAATTCCGAAATTTTTCGAAATTTTGGAATTTCCGGAATTCTGGTTTCACAAGAATAATAGTAACGGAACCATTTTGCTAATGTCATTCATAACTTGTCTGAAACATAATATTTTTTCAAAATTTCAATAACTGGTTCGGGAAAAACTTTGCATTTTTGCTGTTTCTTCTTTGCGACTTCAAACAATCTTTACTCATAAAAACTGATATTCAGCAATTTCAATGTTTTGCATGTTTCAATTTGCTTACCTAAAAATTGAAATCAAACAAAAATGATATGAAGAACGTTGAATAGTTAGCTTCTGAAATTTATTACCTACCAAGAATGGAAAATCCTAAAAATTCAACAATCTTAATTTCTAGCCCCGAAAGAGTAGCAAAATCCAAAAGCAATCACTAAAAAGAGAGAAAAAAGTGGAAGATCTAATAATGAGTATTCAGAAGGGTTTCTTTTTTTTCGTGCCAAATCAGCCTAGTGACGAAGAATGATAAAAGTTTTGTATGGCTTCCTTCCTGGAGCTACGTGTATTTCAGTTCTTGATTGAGAAAAGTTTGAGACTACAAAAACTACAAAAAAGAGGATCGTAAATTATTCGGTTTCATCTAATCAAGAATATCCGGGAAGTTTTCGAGTTGAGTTAATACACGATTGGAGGTAACGTTAAAAAAACTACAAAATTCAGTCATAAGAGTTTTAGAGAATTCTTTGAATGTCTAGGTTCTAAATAAAGAAAAGTGCAAACCCAGAAGTTATAAATAACAAATCTTAATCCCTCCGTCATGTGCACCTTCATCAAAAAATAACTAATTAGACGAAGTATAAATGAAGACAGAGAGAAGGGGGATTTTTGTCCGAGAAGAGAAAGTTTTTGGATTCGTAAGCAAAGCCATACAAGAAGGATTGGCTGTTGCGACTCGGATTGACGTCACACGTGGATTATCAACGCTATATCAAAAGCATTCAAAGTAGTAGTCGTTGGGGAGATGGAGAAAGAGAGACAGGAAATGCAAAAAGGGACAAAGTTTTAAGGATACGTTTCTGGAAGAGAAGTCTAGAAAATGTTGTACCAGGACCAGTGGTGGTGAACAATTGATGTACCTAAATTATATTTCTGTTACAGGAACTTTAAATTATAGATCCAATCTTGACTGATTTCATTGCAATTTCCACGCAAATGAGAATCATCTTACAAAAAGCAGAAAAGCCCAAAAGACAAATTGTCAGTGTAAAAAAAACTGTTTCGAAAACCTTCTAAATGTTTCCAGAAAAGCAACCACTACTACTTTGAATCGTTCGTCTTTTGAAGCGATTGATTTCCTATTTTTTTTATTTTTGTAATTCCTATTATCACATTTTTTTACTTTATAGAGACTGTAACACTTTTTGGCCGATGTCACCCTTTGACTCTTTCGAAGTCATCATTCAAATACTCGGCGAAAATTTGACTTCCACCTCCCTTGGGCACAAATCAGGTCTTGCTGATTATCACGTACTTCAGTGTATGTATAAAACTCGAAAATTTGGAACCAGACTGAGCTTTCGATCTTTTTCGAAAAATAATTTATAGCCTAAAACGTTTTTTTAGCTTGCAAGTTTTCTTCAAAAAGATTTGAAAACATCTTCGAACCATGACAGTCGAATCAAAATTTTCACTGGAACGAGTTCAATTATGCATAGCTGAAATCGAAAAATTATTTTCTCCAGTGATTTTTCAAGACAACGACTTTTCAAGTTTCAGTGACTTCACATAACTAATGTCCACCCGAAATACAGAGTTGATCGATTTTCTTTTTAAAAGTACTGCTCTCTACTTAATGTTAGTAACTTCAATGGTTAATAGGAAACTGAAAAACTTTAATTGTCTCATTTTTTTCATAAAGAGTAGACTCTGATAATTGGAGTAATTTAAAATAAGAAATATGAAAAGCTTTGACTGTTATAGACGTATTAAAAACTGCAAAACGGAACATCTGTAGCGTTAGTTTTTCAGACATGAAACATATTTGAAACAGGAAAACTTCAAAGACTTTGAAAATCAAGTATAATATTAGAAATTGAAAATGTTCCTAAAAAGATTTCATCTAGTCAAAAAGTTAAGATTACAGAGTTCAATTTCAAATTTGCACTGAAGCGGAGAGCCAGCTAGTACACCGAAATAATTTTTTAAAAACTTAAACATCCATGAATATCCTACCGTTTCATTTTGTGCACTAATATAAACTCGAGACAATTCAGTACTGTGTAACGAATGTTCAAACCCAAAAAAGTCTACAAATGTCAAAAAGTCGTTCCAAAAAGTCACCAAGTAGGTTTTTGCAGAACATCCGAGTACTACGAAAAACACTAAAGTTGTTCCCTTTCATGGATAGACACAGGAAGTGAATCGAGTCGTAAATAAGGCTGGAGAGGAGGTCCGGATTAGAGGAAAAGGCTTGCCTGGACGAAGAAGAAAAGGAAGAAGAAGAAGAAGGAAAAGTAGAAATATCTATATATGAAAAAACGGCAAAAAGGAGCAGAAGAAGAAGAAGGGATTATAATTAGCAATAGATTTTCTCGAATTCCTAGTGATAACGAAGAAGCAGAAGAAAGAAAAATAAAAAGTGGAAGAGAGGGTGTGAGCATTGAAGCGAGAATAGATTTGGTGCTCAATCAGGTAGCACATAAGATGTTTCTTCCGAATAATTGTAAGTTCATTTAGAAAGGAATTAGGGAAGGGGAAATGAGGAAAGAATGTGCAGGAATAGATGTGTAACTAGATCAAGGACTAACGCTGATATTAACATAAAGAGATGGGAGAAAACCAGATGAGCAATCGAGGGAGTTCCGGGTGGGCTTGGTTTTCAGGAAAGTTTGAATTTTTAAAAAATTCCTAGTTAAAGGAGATTGAGCATAAAAAATACAGCAAATAAATTTTTAGAAATTTTTTGTAAAATTCCACAATTACCAATTTTGAAAAATTCAAATTTGCAAACTTTTTGAATTTTTTCACACAGGGGGGTATCTCCTAGCAAATAAAAAAGATAAAAATCAGTATATTTGAAATGTCAGTGTAACAGAAAAATAGTTATATCTACAATTGTATTTCAGGTTTTGAATAGTTTTAAGTTTTGTTCTTGCAATTGTCCGCTTAAATTCTAGTTTTTTCTGAAGTAAATTTGATGATCAATTCTAATTTTTTTCAGTTTCAAGGAATTATTATATTAACTGAAATGGAAGTCAGTTTTCATTTTGCCTTTCACACTCAAAACCAACTATTTATACCACTACGACTAAATGGTTTTTCTCCATTTCCCGGCAGAGGAATCGACGCAATTCCGGTGTAGTAAAATTCGTGAAAAAATATATAGCGAGAAGTTCAATTTTTTTAGCTTTCCGTCAAAGGAATCGGAGATGGGAAAAGTACATTCGGATCATGATCAAAAAGCTCATTTATTTTTAATTTGATTTTCACACTAATTTTCAAGGAAAATTAATTCATTGGTGTATTTAGTGCATTCATCGGTGTATTTAGTGAAGTTATAAATTTCGATATAATGACGAAAAAATTAGAAAGAGAACGTTTAGAAAATATACATATAAAATGCATCGAAAAACTAAGCTTTGTTGGAACTTCAAATCGAAAAAATACTGAAAACCGAAATAATGAAAGTTGGGACTAAAATTACTTCCATTTCATACAACATTTCCTTTCAAAAAATCATCGTTTTTCGTTGTTTTTCTTTCGGGATTTTTCCCGAATTAAAAACTTATCATGAAAGGACATGCTTTCAACACAAAATAAGTAGTTCAACATTCAGATATAGTAGCGGCAACCATAGTAAAAGAACATGATCAAGCCACCATTAAACTAGAATCTTGAAACAGAGGAAACATTTCAAACGAATCTCAAAAATTCAAAAAATGAACATATATCCCAAAAAGTTGTACATATAAACGGATTATTCTTCTTCCCGAAAAAACCAACGAAAACAAAAGAAGCCTCTCAATAGTGAATCTCTTTAGTAAATGGATGAGTAATAGAGAAAAAATGAATCAAGAATCAGGCAAACTGCCTGTGTATTAGTCGGGGAAAAATATAGAAATGTCTGGTAAAAGGTTTTTGAAAACAGAAATATCTTTCTTATTTATAAAACGATACACGCGTCTGTCTGTCCCGGTTTCACTCAGTCGACTTTTGAAAAAACTTGAAAAATAAATATAGATTTACGTGACCCTTCAAAAAATTAAAGAACTGAGACACCAACAAGTAAAAAAAACTAGGTTAAATCGCGCCGTAGGCGCACCAGCTTCCTGGTTTGAATAAATAATCGTCAACAGTGGATCGAATATCATTCACTCATCACACAATATTCTTCAATGAAACGGAAAATTATGATTTATCGATTTAAAACGGTCCATAAAAATTTCAGACTTGTTTTTAGAGTTTCAAGTATATCTTAATAAATCGAAGAAAAATCTATTGTATTACCTGAATTTCAATCTTGATTCCCAAGAACTTTTTTCTCCGAAGTCCCATATGTTCCAAAGCATTAATAAGAAAAAAAACCAAGTTCTCGTGTCTCATCTTTTCGGAACTCTTTGCTTTTTTCCCAAACAGACACCAAACACAAAAAAATCAAAAAATGACACTTTTGTTCTTTCGAATGGGCCCTAAGAAAAAAGATAAGAGAGAACAATGAGGTGACGAGATGAGCTGTGAACAACAAATGATGGATTATTGTTTTTTTGTCGAAAAAAAAGACAAAAAAGAAAATGAAAACAAGAGTAATAATAGAGAAGAGTGGGTAGTAGCATTTTCAGATTCATTTCCTTTGTAAAATTTAGGTTACAAGAAAAGACAAAGTTCTAGATGGTGGGTGGAAGAAGGATTGTAGTGGCGGACTTCTGATGGGATGGAGCTGCTCTTCCAGGAAATTCTGGGCGGAGAATCTGCAAAAAATATTTCAATCTGACTTAAAGTTAGAACTTGTCTATTTCTAACAGTTATTTTAACATCCAAAATTTTACAAAAACAGCGAAACAGTAAACAATTACATTTATTCTAGAGTCACTTTGGGACCGATTACCTCCGTTTCTAAAAGAGATCAAAAACTTGTAAATCAATACAATTTTGCTGACATTATGAAAAATTCAGCACCGATCTTTACAATATACAAAAACTTATTTTTCAGTTAATTTTTGTCCATTTTCAGAAGTCTCGACTAAAATAGAAAAGTTGAAAATTTTGTATTCATAGAATGTTTTGAAAATTCCTCGTTTTTCAGCAATTTGCCGTTTTCTGAAATACATTTGATTTTTTTCACGTTTTCAGTACAAAAACAGGCCTAAAGTAGGTGTTTTTCAGAAATCGGCAAATAGCTGAAAAAATTAATCTGCGAACATGAGTATTCTAAATTCAAAATTTTACAAGGATAAGGAAACAGTAAACTGATGTATTTCCTCCAATAGCCATTCCTAGCCAATAGCCAAAGACACTCCTGAATTGTCAATTTGGGATCAATTATCTTAATTTCTAAAGGAGATATCAAAATTTTGCCGACTAATAAAATTTTGCTGACGTCAAGACAAACATTTCATTAGTTGACAAACTTGTATTATCTCTTATACGAACCGAGATAAATTGGCTCAAAGTTGAGAGTTAAGGATATGACTCAATTGATGTCAAATTGCAGGTATATCGGTGGAGTTGTATTGAAGGAAACACGTTTTCTTACTTTCTGAAATTGAACTACTTACCTTAAACGAGCAAACCATATTTGGGTTGACTTGCATAACCGCAGTGGCATTATCAAACTGTCCACAGTAGTGGGGAGCTGAGAATAGGGTCACAAGTTTTCGATTGGCGAAAAACTCATATCCATCCTGGACCACTTGATGGGCACGAACAATCAGGTCGAGGCCAAACTTATCGCAAGTTTGAGCAACAACGTCTGGTCCAAAAGTGCAACTGCATCCCCTGGAAAAAAGAAACAGTTAAAATTAAAATTTTATGTTTCAACATAATGTTAAGTTTAGATCTTTACGAGTGCTAAATAATTCCTCTTGTATTGGACTTAAAACGATAGTTAATATAATACTTATGATGCAAAAACGCTCCAATGAATATTATCTGACATATAAACTCAAGAAATACCTGATATTTGCTTTAAATCCCTTCGTATTCACATCCGGATCCGACCACAAAATATCAATGGCAAGTGATGGATTTGGTGGATCCTAAACTCTTAAATCAATTTGCTTCAAATTCCAAAAATCTTACATGCAATGGACGAGCAAAAGTGTTGAGAATATCCAATTTCGGTGCGTTCATCAAATCAGCCGACAACCCTCCGTGCATACAAAGAATCCGTTTTCCAACTAGAGCAGTCAACGGCATCATTTCAAACATTTTAGTGAAGTCTTCATAGAGTCTCGGAGTACCGAATCGTTTGTTCAGATCATCGTAGAATCCATAGATACGATTGATGAGTTTTGTTTCATGGTTTCCACGAAGCAAAATGAAATTCTCCGCGTATTTCATCTTGATGCACATCAACAGAAGAATCGTCTCAATACTGAATTGTCCTCGATCGATATAGTCTCCAAGGAACAAATAATTGACATCTGGAGGGAATCCGACGTTGTTGAAAATGCGCATCACGTCTCCAAACTGTCCGTGAATGTCGCCGACGATGGTGACCGGTGGAGCGCATTCGATCATCATTGGTTGACGTTGGAAGGATTGGAGACATTCACCAACGAGGTCCGAGATTTCAGATTCTTCAATTGTCGAAGTGAATCCTGTTCCCAATTTTCCAATATTCATCAATCTCTCCAAATACTTATCGATATTGACTCGAGTTGGCGTGAACGCCACCGAAACTTGCTCTCTACCTGAAATTTAGAATCCACGTGGAGAATCTTCCAGAAGAAGAAAACTCACTCATCATTGACGACACAGTTTACAATAAACGTTTGACTCGTCTACCAAATTCTTCAAAATGATAGTCTTCTTTGGAAAAGAATAATTTCCTTTTTCCATTATTTTTTTAATTGAAAAATTTAGGTGTTGGTTTTGTGGCGATGCGTGTTCATAAAAACTAATTTATTCAAAGACAGGCACAACTTTTCAAAATAAACACCGGTCTTGACCCAAAACCCGTTAAGAATCCCGTTTAATTAGACTGATAACCCAATTAACAAATTAAGCCTTCTTGTATTGGAAGTAGGGCCATTGACTTTTTTGAAACCACGCTGGTTTGACATCGGGAATTGATTCACAGTCGAATGAAAGAACTGTTAGGTTGTAGTAGGCGTGTCTGGAAATTTAGGCAAAAATTAGGAATTTGCAGTTGATGTTTATAAATGTTAAATGAATATTTACTTTTTGAGAATCAGCGCTTTGTAAAGTATGACAAATGATGATTGTTTCTAGAATCGAAAATTGTGTGCGTGCATTTTTTTTAGGAAACAGAATATCGGTTTTGCTGTTTCAATTTTTTGATATATTTTCCATGGTTAATGTGTGAACATTGGGAAAAGGCCGGAAGTTTTTCGAAATTAGAAGTTAGATGTTTCTTTTTTCGAATAACGTAAAATTTCTGGACAACCCTGGCCTGTGTATTAGAATTCAAAACAATGTTTCTTTCAAAAAGTCTGAGACTACATTTCAGCCTAACGACCGCTGACATTCCCCAAATTCCGGAAGATAATTTTAAAAACAATAAAAAATCTTTTAAAAAACTGCAGAACTTCTTATGAACTCTTTGGAACTGCAAAAATTATTGCTCCTATATTTATCGTAAATTCTGTATATACTGTGAAATCCTTTAGTAGAATGACTGCTAAAACTTTCAACGTTGACCCATTTTATCTCGGTTTCTGCGAAGGATATCAAAGCAATAAACTGACAAACCATTTTTGATATTATGATAAAAATTTTGTCAGTTTACCACTTTTTCATATCTTTTTCAAGGAAGGAGATAGATTAACTCAAAGTTGATGGGTTGGTTGGCATTTTGATAGAGCGCTTACGGTATATTATATTTTGTAACGATTTCTATAAATGTTTCGATTTGTGTCGAAAATCTAATCCTGTTGTGAAAACTACGCTTCCACAAGTCGGGTAGTACTCTTCTTGCAAAGCAGTACACAACAGACTCAGCAGCACGTCTAAGACTGCAGGACAGAAGATGACAACTACACGATTCTCTGCTAGCAAATACAGAAGTCAGCAGAACTAAGCAGGTCTTCTCGCAAATCTCCAGTTTACCCTTCCCAGTTTTCCATTATCTTGTTTTATATTTTAATTACAGATTCTCCCGTCGAGCTCAACTTCTTGTTTTCGTATTTCGCGCCGACACGCCTTTTCTCTTCCCGTCCTCCATCGCCGCCACACTCTCTCGTCGGTCGGAAAGGAGCGCACTTGTTGCATAATTTTAGGCCCTTCTAATTCGAATCTCTTGTGGGCAAGCACACTCATAACATCATTTTCTTTTACAAAAATTGGTACGAGTCCTGTCCCGGAACAGACGTGTACTGGCAGATTTTGTTTCTTCGCAGACTATTGCAAATTCTTTTAACGCAGATGGGACCGATCCACCGTGGAAAAGCCCCCAACGAGTCCTTCGTCATAGCAGAGGACTCGTACTACGCAGATCTGATATTTTTACTCTCTTCTTCTTGTGATTTTCCGAAAGCAAAACTACCCTACTGTTCTCATTATATAATCCCCTTTCCAATGTAAGATGTGTCCCATAATTCAAGCAGTCATTTCTGGAGTTTTAACGCGGCAGACACACCCTGTACGCTTTCTCCGAAATTCAATAAAACATATTTAGATTCCATAGCTGTCTTCTTAGTCTATTTCAGGTCCTTTTCTATACACAATTCACTTATGGTAGTTATCTTATTTCATTTCCCCCATGCTACACATCTCTTAGCCTAATTACAACTTCTTTCCGTGAACTGGTAGTTCGCATCGAACTTCCAGGTCATCACAAATCCTCATCAAAATAAAAAATCTTCGAATTGCTCTTCTGAAACCTTGTAATTGAAACCGAGTTTTCAATAAAAAATTTCATACATAGCCGAGCTATAGAAAAGTCACTAAAGTTATACTGTTTCAAAGATTCGATATTCGAAATTTCAATTTTATTTTTTCAATTGGAAGTAATTGTTCTCTTCTCAACCCAAATTTTCTTCTGGCGATATTCCCCCGCTATCAATTGAAAGACCTCATCAATCATATCAATGACAAGAAGTTTTTCCCTATATTCTCTATCTCGTTTATATCTTCAACAGATCACATATTTCTCTACTGCACCGTAGATTCTTTCCAGATTTTCGATACAATTTACCAAGACAAGTGATCTTAAAAATAGCAAACTTTGTTATCAACTATCAGAAACGGGACATTTTTTTCCTATATTCACCAGAAATTATCTAAAACAACGTCGCAATTTGAGCTCGATTATCTCAATTTATAAAAGAGATATCAAAAATCTGTCAACTAATAAAATGTTGCTGATATTATGTCAAATATTTTATCAGTTGACAGATTCTTGATATCTTTTATAGGAGTTAAGATATTTGACCTAAAAATGTAAATGTTGGGTGGCGATCTATTGGTTTTTAAGGTACAATATTATCATTTTTGACGAATTTTTAAGATTTTCGTTAAAAAAAACTAACCCATCTGAATCCCTATGCATTCGAATATCTTTGATCACATCGAACTTTATCACATCTCCATCTGCATTCTCCTTTTCTTCGCCTTCAAAAAATTCGCCTCTTCGAATTCGGACCTGGAAATATTTAACCGTTATCGTAAAGACCGAAATTGATTGTCGAAAAAAGTTCTGGGTATTTGTATAAACTGATTGAAACAGATACATTTCTTCACGAATTTTTATCCATCGTAAAACTTCCAATACATCCCAACATTGACAGAATTTATCTCGGTTCCTATGCCAGATACCAAAAACTTGTAAACAAGTAAAATGTTTGTGATATTATGATAAACATTTTGTCAGTTGACCTTTTCTTTGATTTTCTGATATCAGTGACTAGAAACGAAAAAAAACTGGGCCAAAGTTGCCTCTTCTATGATTGGTTTTATGGATATTTTAAAAAGAATTTCATTTCATAATGAAGATCTGAGAACCAAAAAACGTTTATAATTTATAATTAATTCAGCGAGAATGAAAGATGAAAAATTTCAAACTCACATCTGTATACCGTATTTTTGCATATTTCTCCAACCCCTCATATTCACAACACATCACCGATAGATCTCCTTCGATGTTCTTATCAAAACCTCCAACCCAATCGTTCGACTTCTTGCACCCTTGAGGACTTTCAGCACGTTCTGGGCAGTCCTAAAAGTTTTGAAAATTATGTTTATCCCAAGTTTTCAGAACTTTACTAACCGAGTAGTTTTTATCAAAACAGTTGGGTTTGGAGCACAATAGCCTTATAACTCCACTATGATGAACTTCCATCCCATAAGCAATTTGATCGGATCCACAGTAATCCGAACGGCAAATGATAGCGAACGCCACAAGGATAATTGTAACTGCTTGCCACCACATTATATAGTTGTAAAATGGGAAAAACCGAATGACTCGGAAAATCGGCGAAGGGGCCACCTGTCGCTTCAACAAATAGAAGAAGAGAAGACACAAAATGAAAATGACCGCGAAAAAATCAGAAGAAAAAAAAAGAAGAAGAGAAAATACGTAGACCCTCTTCTTCTCTCGATTGCGACATAACCGGTTTCAGTCAAATGATGATCGGTCTTCTGTTTTTTCTTCCCATTCTTGACACCATTCAGAATCTCCGCCTCATTTTCTTTCTGCTGTTCAAAAGGTCAATGGCGGTCATCTCACTCTTGAATAGCTTCTTTTTCGCTTTCCGTTGGAATTTCTGGAAAAAAAAAGTCTCATAGAAGGTTGTATCCGCCACTGAACAGTCGGTACGTGAACAGTAGAATAATATAATCATCGACGGGGTTCGAACCCGCAAGGTCAGCACCCTAGTGTTTACCCTTGCGCGCTCTAACCACATACACCACGCGGGCATCATCTTTTGTATGCCTTCTTGTCATACACAAGCGTGCGGTGTTTCCCTCTTTTTCTCGACTCCTCACCCAAAACACTTCCTCCACTTCGCCCATTTTGTCGTGCAATTCTAGAGTGTCGATTGCTAATCGTTTCAAATTCGTCTCCATATCTTCATTCTCTACTAAACTCCGCTTATTGTCGTCTAATTCTCCTCGCTGTTTTTGCAAATAGAATGCTGAAAATGTGCTCTGTTGAGAATAAAGAGAAGGGGGTTTCTTACCAACATCACAAAGTCTTCGTTTCAATTTCGGATCATAAGAACTCAAAACTTTGAAAAAATCATCTCGACTCAACATATGAATTTGTGAGAAGGCACTCGACACAAAATTATGTTGATGTCTGTTATTATTCAAATGATTATTGAACCAAATCAAGTTGACATCTCCTAGAATTTCTCCCTCATAATGATCGACCTCTCCGTCATCCGCCATTTCAACCATTTGACCACAGACTATGATCAACATGGACTGCAAAAAAAATTTGGAGAAAAAAAAGAAAAAAAAGATTCTTACACTACAAAACTGTCCTTTTTCGATAACCACATCTCCTGGACAAAAGTAGTGGGGTTCAAGGAGTTCAGATATGTCGTTCAGGAAACTTCGTTCGGATACCTGAAAATAAATTCAATTGGGAGAAAATTATAATTTTCCTTAGCTAATACCTAAAAATTTCTAGAAAAGTTTATGAACCTTACAGTAAAACCTGTTATAGGAGGTACAAGGTTTACGGTAATTCATACTTATACTTTGGCTCGTCGCAAAAGAGATAACGAAACATTGTAAACTAACAAAACTCATCATAAAGTTTTTTTTAAATTTCATTAGTGGACAAATTTTTGCTATTTCTTCTAGGAACCGAGATAATTAAAGTCAAACTGTGTTTTTTGCGAAATTGCGGTTTTGTTGAAATGATGCAAAGTAAAAAAATAAAGTGAATTATTATAGGCAATTTGAAAGTTTCTATTGAAAAAATTAGTTACTTGAATCACTTTTTCCAGTTGTTGAGGTTAAAACTCCAAATGAAGCAATTCTACTGGAAAAGCTTTCGGAACGTTTGCATTCATTTCGCTTGCTTTTTATGGAAAACATCAATGCTCCTTGCTGTAGCTAATTTAGTCAAATTGGCATCTCAAATAGTTAGAAAAATTTACTGTAAGTGCTCCATGTAATAGAAGCTCACTCAAAAAATGAACTTTGAGCTCAATTATCTCGCTACCTTTGAAGATATCAAAAAATTTTCAACTGGAAAAATATGATAAGAAACATTACCGTTTCTTTATATAGCTAATTTATTCAAATTAACATCTTTTGTTATTTGAGAAGACTATTGATGTCAAAAATGTTTTTTTTTCTGTTTCAAAAAATTAAGAAATTTGGTCTTGAAACCTTAACAATATTTTTTCTTGGGCTGAAACATCATTGTAAAACTAGCACTTCAAAATTGAAGAAAAGGAGCTGTCCATATTTTTCAAAATCCTACCCGAAACAATGGCGACTTCACCAAAGATGATCCAATAATCGAGGTAGTAACATGTCCGTATAATTTCGTTGGCAACTCATCCCTCACTTCATGTTCTTTCATTATTGTCTCTTCTGCCATTTCGTATTCGCAATATTTCAAAACCTTGGTTTGCAAGCTCTCGTTTAGATTTCTGAAAGTCATATAAAAAGGTGGAATAACGGAACCTCGTTTGGCCTACCTATAAGTCATATACTGTTTTAAACCGTCCATCAACGTCTGCCAATACGTTTTCACAGCGTTCGCATTTGCCACCAAGTCTCCGATACTTCCCATGATAACGGCAAAAAGAAGGAGACCAGCTAACGTGTTTATAATTTCGAATGCATTTTGAATTGATGTATTTGGAGCCGGTTGCTCACCCAAAGTGGTCATTGTCATTGCTGACCAGTACATCGAAAGAGTGTATTCTTTTGTGAATGTAGAGAAGTTGAACACTTGGGTTCTGGAAATTAAACATTTTCACTGTTTCAAAAGTTCAGTAAGGATTTTGATGTTTTAGATTTTGGCTTTGTGTACGCTGTTGCTTTGAAAATTAAATTTGACTCCTTTATTTTCTCACTAGATTGAATTCGCCTATATAGTTTTCTTGTTGACACTCTTACCAAGTGGTCACACTTTTCTCTCATTCAATTAGTTTATTTACCTGTTGTTCATCCGCCAGAAGTGATACAGTTCCACGAGATGTTCTTCTCTTGCCTCATCGTAATAGAAATTTGGATTGTAACAATCTGTTCGACCATCACACCCAACGAAGTAGGCATCTGAAAAAAAATGAAAGAAAGATTTCCAAAATCTGATAAGAGAAAAAAAGGGAAATCAATCTAGACAGGTTGAATTGTGAAGATCATCGACCATGTAAAGGCGGGGGACATGAAAAATTAATTTTGTCAAAATGTCCGGTCATATACAATAGGGTCACTAAGGTGTACAAAAAAGTATTTCACAGTTGATTTTGACCATTTTCAGGTGTGTTGAGCGCGGCTATCAAGCTTCCGATCACATTGAAAATTTTGTATGGTGTGAAACAGACCTAGATTGAAAACTTTGCATTTATAGATTTTTTGAGAATTCCTAGTTTTCAGCTATTTGCCGTTTCATGAAAGACGTTCATTATTGTTCGTTTTTGTACTGAAAACGGGAAATCCTCTGAAAATCTTTTCTCTTACCTGTAATTTTTTCAGGGGTGTATGGCCATGGCAAGTATTCGTCATCGTCGAATGTAGCATTGACGCCTGAAATATTTTAATTTTTATGGAAAACTTTCAAACTTGTCTGCGTTCCCTAATTGTAAGAATGATGATAGCCTCTCTGCTTTATTCTATGCTGTGAGATAATTTCCACAAACAAATTCTAGATAATAGTCTTTAAAAACTGCAAAATTTCTTATGAACTTCAAGAAACTGCAAAAAATGTTTGTTCCAATATCAGTCTTATGATAAATAAATGAAGTTGCTATCTTTCTTTGTCAAAACGCGCCTGAGGCGTGTCAGCCAGGCTACCTTATCTTAAATGCTGTGATTGAATGTGACCCAATACTTGCACTTTGAGCTTTTACTCACCATCCCACGACGACGTATCACTATTCACCGAAATGATATAGAATACACACGCATTCACATGAAAAAGGAGAAAACAGGCAGTGATGATTTTCGATAGCGATATTGTGACCTGAATTGAATATTTAACTTTTTTTCGAAACGAAAATGAGAAAAACCTGTGTTAATTTTCCATAAGACTGGGCAATGAAATTCGCGATTCTGTAGATTTTCAGAAATCGATTTAGTCTGCAAAATGCGGCAGAAGTCTTCTGATTAGCAGATAGTCGAATGGAAAGATTGCAAGCAAATCGATTCCGAAATAGAAACTGAAAGTTAATACTTTTTCGGGAACTTCAAAAGTGGATTTAAGTTTACTATTCGCTATTCAATATATGCACTTAATAAAATATTTTATAAAATTACCTATGAAAATAATTTCTCCTCGTTTCCGAAAACTCTGTCACCAGTACTCCCTCATCGTAGAATGCTGAAATGAATTAATTGTTATTTTCTGGTGACATTTTTCAACTTACAAAGCATCGACCTAATAATGATATCCATAAAAAATATGACATCAAATGCAACATTAATTGGAAGAAACTTTTCCAGATATGCAGATCGAATGTTTTCGAAAGCCAGGACAGATAGGACTATGATATTGTAGAGAGATCCACAAACTACAATGAACGTCCATATCCAATAGATGTAGCCAGATTGGTCCACCGAGAAGTCATACCTGAAATTTGAATATTATAAACAGTAACTTATTGAATAACTTTTTAAAAAATGAGGCACGGCTCGCGGGCCTTGCCTTGGACATTTGAAAAATCCCGGTTCGGTTGCAAATAAGATTTATCATGATCAATTCTTCTTAAAAGTTATGTTTCAAATAAGTCATGAAAATTGAAAGTTTTGTCTTTTTCTTAATGATAAAGACGATGAATATTCTAATCTGAAAATCAAAATCTTCTAATAGTTTTCTCGTTTCTTGAAAAAATTACAAAAACACATTTAAAGTTTATACTTCAGACAACAGTACACTTCCGCATTATCAAAAATTCAGATTCCCCAAATCGGAAACCCATAGGAAACAGAAAATTTTCGAAAATGATCCAAAAAACTTTTAAAACATGGTTACCGTAAAACCTGTAATATAGTACAGCCCCTAACTTTCAACTTAGAGCTAGCCTAGGTTCATGTCAATTATTTTGAAAAGTGGTAAACTCTTTATCATAATATCAGAAATATTTTGTCAGTTGACACTTTTTTGATATTTTGCATACGAACCGAAAAAGATTAGCTCAAACTTGACAACATGGGTGCTTTCTATTACAGGTTTTCCGGTAAGAAAGACCGGTAAGAAAATCTCCTGACTTTTTCTGTGAATTGTTTGAAAATTGATTAAAAAAGCATTTCATGCACTGTTATAAATCTAACCAATTCTCGAATAATTTTAGTTCCTTTAAAGATTACATTTTTGAATGTGTAAAAATTTGTAAAAAATAAATACTGAAATTTCAACTCACTCAATTCTCGGATTCGCCGCTCTCCACTTCTCATATTGATTCTCATATTCGAAGTGTTGAGGTATCAAATCAGCATCATCCAATTTCTTCGACATCCGCCTTTTTCTCTCAACAAGATTGGCCTTATGTTCACTCATCATCCCCCAAATCCGTCGTTTTTAGAAAATAGAAGCCATTCAGAAACCCTAGTTTAGCAGAAATACTAGTCTGGGATGGTCACTTTTTGAAGTGAATTATATCGATTTTATGGAAAAAAGAATGGATTGGTGAGAAAAATAAGAGATTTATCGAGGTATTCAAGACGTTTGGAGCTCTAGAGAGAGAGAGAAAGAGAGACGCAGATAGTTCAAGAAACGGATGAATTGAGTAGATGAGCCGAAGGGATTTGATGGGTATTAGTATTAGAAAGGAGGATTTGAAAGAAGAGGAAGAGAAGATATGAATACGTGCAATTACCATGAATGGAACACATTGGAAGCATGGATTCCAGAATTATCAAATGAAATATATTTGAAAATTAAATGTTGTTTTTATCACTTACTTTTATCACTACAATTAAGTCAGCATTTCTAGGCTGTTGGCTTCATTTTTTGCTTAGTTTTTGAAAAGGAAATGTTGATGATTTCAAAAAAAAATTACATGTGCTCAGTTTTAAATACATATACTGGTTAAAAATCGGTGCTCTGGAATAGAAACACTGTAGTCAAAGGTTCCAGAACGGAAAGTACCGTATGCTGAAAATATTTAATATTTTTCCGATTCTGATTTTTTTATGATGAAAAAAATAGGAGAAAAGCTTCTTATTCTCACATTCTTAACCTCGAAGAGACGCCGCACAGTTCCTAATCTCTGACTGTGCAGCGGACTGGTAGAGGAGCGTTAGCGGACTGGTAGGAGGAGCGTTAGCCAAACAATAACGATAGTATGTCGAACCTATTAACGATTTCTTGAAACACAAAAAAAGTTCACTGAAAAAATTGACCTATAATATATATCAACATTTTCACGACATCTGATTTTTGAGTTGTTCAAACCCCCACCCATTTCATTTTTGACTCCCTGAAATCTAATATTATGTGATGTCAGCACCTGTTTCTTTTTCGAGTATGTGCATAAATGTGTCTAATATTTCTTTCAATCTTCAGAATCCAATCTAAAGCTTTGTTGATAGAAAAAAGAAATAACACCTTTAGTTGTTTGCCATTAGAGGCATAATTGGTAGTTGTCGTTGAAAAATCTCCTCCCACTTTTTTTCTTCATTTCTCATTTGTCTGATTTAATTTTCGAAAAAAAAGCTGACCAGTGTGTTTTCTGTTTTCCTCCCAGAAGAAAAATCACTGAAAATGAGCACAACAGTGATTCCTGGAGCTATCCACTACAACATTTCCTATATCAATTATCAATATGAATTCAATGGATTCCCAACTATTCTGGCTATTATCCCTTGGATTTATATGCTTCCAACTCTTTTTGTAATTCTGAAAATCTTCTCAGTCTACCTGCAAACTGATTGGGACAATTTGGAGCCTGGAAAAAATCAACATGTCTTCCTCTCCATTTCATTATCCCTTATCTTTAGTTATCTATTTTTTGTCTTTGACTATATCGAAGTCCGATTACCAGCTACTGGATATTTCACTTCGTATTGTGCTGGAATGGAGCCAAATCATTGGCTCAAAATGGTTATATTATTTGCATTTTATTCGAATTATTGTGCTATGGCTTTTCCGTTTCTGATGCCAGTCATTCGATTGGTGATTTTGATTTATCCCAAGGATTATAATAAGGTCAGCGCTAAATTTGGATGAGAGATTGAGAACAGTACAATGTTCCGAAAATTATGAATAGCAGAAAAAAACAGGACCGTAACGAAAAACATTACAACCAGTAAAAATTCATAATAGTCCTGAAATTTTTTCAATTAAAAAATTATAAAAGGCCGAGGTCACTAGCAATCCAATTTCAACTTCAAAAAGTACATCACTGTCTTGAAAAGTATGAATGTTGTGCAACAGAAAACGCATGATCAAGGGGGACCAATAAACAGGAAGCTAAATACTTATGAGATTTCTGAAACCAACAAACATTCAAAAATATATTTGAAGATCTGTGAACCTTTCGAACCCAGTAAATTGAGAAATTAATAGTAAAACTAGAAACTTCGAGCATTTGATGAAGAGAAGCGGTTATTTCACATATATTAAAGAGAATAAATTATATTCTTGTACAACATGAGAAGAATTGAGTTCCGAAAGTTATGAATGTCTTGTAACAGGAATACCTTTCCAAAATGTGAAACTGTCGAACAAAGATATTCTGTGAGACTTCGATTATAAATGGATAGTTAATGAATAGCCGTACTGAGCTTAATGAGAAAAACAACATTTTTTCTTGTAAAACATACAAATTGAAACCGAACTTTTTTTAAATAGTTGAATAGTTTTGTTTCAATATGCTGAAAACAAAATTTCAAATAGAAATTCTGTTCATTACCTTCAATAGAAGCACCCTCAAACCGTCTAATTTAACTCAATTTTTCCAATTTCAAGAAAGATATAAAAAATGTGTCAACTGAAAAACATTTCTGATATTATAATAAACAATTTATCAGTTGACAACTTTTTGACGAGAACCGAGGAAAGTTAGCAAAAATTTAAAAGATAGCGACCCTTCTATCGCAGGTTTTACGGTAATTGAAACCAATAAAAGATAATTTGTTTTTGAAAATTCTTAAAGTCAAGTTTAAACATTTTCATTTAAGAAAATCTTTCCTGTTTCAGTGTCTTATTTTCAAAAAACTAACCAAACTAGCGCCAATTAAAAAAAAAGGGGGGGGGGAAGCAACAGGTGTTTCGAAAATGTACATTTTTGTTGAAAAATAGAAAATCCTCCAAGAACCTTGATTCGAATTTCTGACTTCCCATCAAAAATTTTCTTACTGGCCACTCTGATAGCAACGCTATTACATTGCCAAAACCATTGGACTCTCTTATTTTCCAAATTTACAGTACAATAAAATAATCATGCGAATCTTTGTGTCCCTTATCTTTCTCTACCCCATCTCTTGCACATTTTTCCTTCTCCCAGCTATCGGAACCTGTAAACAATTGGAGTATCCATATCAATTTGGCTCCATTTGGATTTATTATTATGGAGCGGCATTTGGGGTAAGCCATAGTATCCAAGAGGGGAATCAAACATTAGAAACTTCAAAGAATTTCAAGACTTGAAAGTTCTTGGAAACAGAGAAAATCCTAGGGTTGAACTTTCTCGGAAATGAAAATTATACAAGCTCACTGATCAAATTGTGCCATATTACTTTTCAACTTCCTGATTTCAGCTTAGAAACTCGACATTCTACTTGGCAAATACTATCATTTGGCTGTCACTTGCTATCATAGCCAATGTGACACTTTTCTATAAGTTAGAAAAAGCAAAAGAGCGATTGATTACGGTACAAAGAAGTGGGATATCATTTAGAGCACAAGTTTCGATTTCAAAGACTACGGTGGCGATGATTATATTTTACATGACGAATGGAGTTTTTATTGTGGGTAATTAAAGTAAAATAAGGGTTTTGACACAAAAGTCTTTAAGTGAATGAAATAACAAAAAAATTTAAAATTCGTCAATTATTTGAATTTTTGGATAAAACTTAGTTCAATATAAGACTTAAAGGTGGTCTACGGTGAAATTTTTATTGCTTCAAAATGTGCAGAAATGCATGTAGATTGACATAAAAATAAAGAAAAAATTCAAAAAAAACTCCTTCATCGAGAAAAACGCATCGAAAAAAACGCTGAAAGCCCTTAAGGACAAGCTTTTTTTTCTAGGCCGCCCGGTGAGTAAAAGCGCACAAATTTAAACTTTTAAAATTTTTTCGCTCGTTCTCTCTTTTTTTCGGTTTTTTCAAGGTTTTTCAAGGTTTTTGTCAATTTTTCTTCCAAATACATCGGAAAACTTGAA